TATCTATCTATCTATCTATCTATCTATCTATCTATCATCTATCTATCAACAATAGACAGAAACCATTTTTACCTACCTACATCCATCCATTAATCCATCCATCCATCCATCATCCATCTATCTATCTATCTATCTATCTATCTATCTATCTATCTATCTATCATCTAGCGAAAATAGACAGAAACCATTTTTACCTACCTATCTATCACCTATCTATTATCTATCTATCTATCTATCTATCTATCTATCTATCTATCTATCATCATCATCAACAACAGACAGAAATCATTTTTACCTACCTACATATCTATCTATCTATCTATCTATCTATCTTATCTATCTATATCTATCATCTATCTATCAATCAATCTATCATCTATCAATCTATCATCTATTATCTATCTATCTATCTATCTATCTATCTATCTATCTCTATCTATCTATCTATCTATCTATCTATCTATCTATATCTACCTACCTATCTGCCTGAAAATACTGGTGGATGAGACACTACCCTTACTTCAGGAATCTCTGCAGGTATTGTTGCAATGAAATATGTTCCTGGAAGGTGCATAACCAAGTGAAAAATCAGGAACAGGAGATTTAGCAGAGCCCATTCACATCCTTTCATTCTGAGAGGTATTTCGGGGTCTTTCGCCAGTGAGGTATAGGAAGGGACTGAGGAGGAGAATGGCTTATGAAGCAGGGGTGACTACACAAAGCTATGGAACATCAAACATAGGGACCACCCAAATGAAAAAAAAAACATGGGGAGGGTCCACCTTAAAAAAAAGCCCAGGAGGTAAGAGGAGCGTTTCCTTGATTCTTGGTTCATCTGCTCCTTTAGTCTTAGATAAGCATATTCATCTAATTTTGCAAAGCGGTCTAAACATTTTTAGAGATCATCTCCTCGGATGCCTTAGAGTTTTGCCATCAGAGGGCAAGAACACACAAGATGTCTTGCTCAGGTGAATTTCTCAGCTTTCAAATCTGCAGAGCTTTTGTAGAGGATCCAAATCATACTTTCTTTCAATAACTCTGAACTCAGTGATGGAAGAGTTGAGCGAGCTGAAATTTCCCTCCCAGGAATGGCTAGGGTGGATGAGTCCCTATCACAGGGACTCATGACCACCTCACTGTGCAACGTGTAGTTTAAGAGAACTCTCTGAACAGAAAACATTCTTGATTATCTCCAGACTTAATGGTGGTATCACAGTGCTGGTGACTAGTGACGACTATGTCCACTCCACAGGATAATCTCCTGAAAGCCAGGGCCGACTTCAGAGAGCTCTCTTTTTGAATGCTCTTTCATTTTCAAGAACTATGTAGCAATAAATGTACTTATTAAGTTCAAATAGTTTAATACCCTTTAAAAATGCTTACTCATTTCCCCAGACCACAGGTAGGAACAGAAGCTGGCAAAAGGCCACTGAAGCAGGCTCGGGTTATATTCACAGATTGGGATTTCAGGAGATGAGCATGGACATTCAAAACTTCAAATCCCAACTGCACAAAACAAAAGGGGTTCGTCTGCTACAAAAAGGGCACAGATCACACTGAATCCAAAAGCTGACAAAACCAGTCAGGACCAAGTCCCAGAGTTCTCTGGGAGGGAATAGAGCTTCCTTATCTTTGGCTATTAAAAACAGAAGGGATAACTGGGTCTTTGAAGTCCAGTGCCATTTATTTAAAAAGACATATGTAGAAGTCCCACTGTTACTGCTTGAAAACCTTGACACATATGTTTTTGAGCACCACCGTCTTGAAATCAGTGGTCTTAAGGTGTTTAGAGAAGAGAATGACAAGCCCATTTTTTCCATTATGGATTCAAGAATTCATGAAATCCTGGCATCATTCTATGCAGGCCTATAGGATAAAGGCAATGGTAGCACAGTCATCTTCCCTCACAGGCCGTACAAATGTGTCTCAGGCTCCTACTATCTTCCTATCACTGAGAAGATGGAGAAAACGGCAGCTCATAGAATCATGATAGGCTTCATGGAGGTCTTAGGTCTCTGTGGCATTTCTGGGACCACTAACATGAAAATGTCTTTCTTTGACTTGCCTGTACCCACAGGGACTTTAAAGGGTTTCTCTCAGGATAACTTCCAGAATCTTTGGGGCCTCCATCAAGGGTGGTGGTGAACACGGTAAGAGACTTTCCATTTTCACCCTCCAGGAGTCTCAGGTCAACAATGAACACTTGCATCATTGGTCTATGTTAGAGGAAGTAGACATCATTACAGGAGGTGTTCGTGGTGTGGTTGTAATCATCTGACCTTCTTTCAGGTAGATAAACAGCTACCAATGAGGACGCTCTTTTCTGTATGGAGGTAGAACTGGTGAATGAATCAATGGCTCCCACTTTGAGATGACTCCACAAAGCTCATTCATTGTCCTTATTTCCCACCCCCACCAAGTGTGCTGAAGTCTCCCAGAGCAACCAGCAATCAGACTCTCACTTTGATAGCTCCAGGTGGATCCTTGTATGCTATTTCTCCCCTCTCTCCTGTCAGTACTTTCCTGTCAGACCTCAGGTCCTATTGTGAGAGAGAGAGCTTTTGAGGACAGATAAGCATAGGGGTCATCACCCAAGTGCTGACACCTCATGAGTGACTTGTGAGCTTTTGGTGAAGGAAAGTCTGATTACAAAATGAAACCTGAGTGCTACCATTCGAAAGTGGACAAAGTGCTCCAGAAGATTCTGTGGCTTTCTTTAAAATTTCCCTTCATCGTGAAGTCTGGGTTTGCTCACTCAAGTGATTGCATCATCAGAGCATTATTTTGATCTTTTCTCCCAGAGGAGGCTTTTGTTTAAGACTCAGGATTTATGTGATTGGATAGCTCTCCTGAAGTTGAATAAATAATTCTGAATGTCTGGTATCTTGAGCAATCACAGCTTTGGGGTCAAGGTTGGATTTTTATAAATGAAATCAGAAGCTGGCATTTCCCACAAGTGTTCTGAGGCTTCATAGATGAGACATACAGAGGTGAATAAAATAATCAACATAGAATTGATCCAAAATGTTAGTAGTGTTTTCAAAGACTTAGCTAAAAATTAAACACCTTCTTAAGTTTAACTACGATTTTCGGCTTTTGCTAAAGAAATTGGAGGTCAAGCCCTGGACTTAAGGGACCCATAACATTCCTGGAAAAGACATCTAAAAAATATGCTTTTGATGACTGTGCATGGACCATTTACTTGAGAAATAGACCCAAGTCAATCCATCTTACTCTAGCTTCTAGGTTAGGAAACTGAGTTCCACATACGCGAATGGAAACATTAATTTTGAGGAGGCAAAAACAAAAAACGAAGAATCCTCTTTCATCTGTGGGCTATTTTAAGGATATTTTCCGGGGATGATGGGTATGCAATTCTAGAGACAGTAAAGAAGAGGGCTGGAATTCTGTCATTGCTGGTAATGTCATCCTGCCACACATTCTGTGGTTCCCTGGGAGAGAAACTGCCCCAAGCAACCATGTGGCCATCCCATAGTGCTTATACGAAAGACCTTCCTTTCCTCCAGATGCAAAGGATGGGTAATTTCTCATATAAGTCACCAGAGTTCAGTGTGGAGTAGTCTTATAATTTGAAAAAAAAACAACAACAACACTATTATTAAAGAGGATGCCATTGCCGAGTACCCTTTTATTCAGCAAACAACTTCTTGAGAAAAACTGAATAGCTTTCATGAAAGTTAAGGGGAGCCAAGGCTGCCAGAGGAAGCCATGGGATGCTCATTATAATAACCTGCTGCAGAATGTCACTGGGGTAAAAAGGTTCTTCTCTTGGGCACTTGGCCATGACGAGCCTAGATTTATCTCATCCTTTACATACTGTTCTTGCTGTAAGGCAATCAAGTCACTCCTTCCTGTTTGTGGAGGGCAGCAGTGCGTAAATAAAACAGTCCCTTTCTCCTTTGCTTCCACTCATGGAGGTCTCTGAATCAGTGTCATAGTCCCAGCTTCTTCTCTGGTGTAGGACAGAACTGGGTTGCAGTGTAGGAACGATAGCGACCTATTCTGGCATAGTGAACTAGGTAATGAGAGAAAACTTAACACTTTAAGTCTCTGACTTCTCATATCTTCACCCATTATTTGTCCTAAATGATGCTCACAGGGAGTGAATATCTACAGAAACATATGAAAATGCTCTTTGTCAAAAATTTTCCAAAGGATTTCTTCTCATTTCTGTTTCAACAAGGGAAGGAAGGCACCCACCATTGTCTCTATTTTGCACCCCTTTCCTTCTATCCTACAAGGTTCCTGATGTGTTCCTTTAGCATGAGGGTGTTGGGTTTCTCACTGGGATGCAGCTGGCCACAGCAGAGACACACAGAGAAAAGGGAGCCATGCAGGGAAATTACACAAGGACGAGGAAAATGCTCACCACACAATGAGAAAAAAGAATTCTGAGCCCAAGTCCTTTCATCTGAGCCACTACGAGTAGCCCATGACTTCTGCAGTGTCCTGCCACATTTTTCTGATATTTAGAACTTTCAGCCTTTCTTTTCTATTGTGCACATTTGCCTTGATGTATTTCTTATCTGGAGGGAAAAAACATCTGCAACCAAAGAGGAGCCTGTTCTTAAAGTGTGAGGACAGGACAAGCAGGGAGGCAGAGAGGACCGTGAGACTTCTTGGCACCAAAATGAATGGGACCTTCTTAAAGTCCTAGCTACAAGTCCTAGATGTAGCCTAGCCTGCCCACAAGCCCTATCAAGAATCCTCCACAGCTAGACTGAGGGAAGCCTTCCCTTCTTGCCTAGTTATTTGATTCAGGGGAGAAGTTTTGTCCTGTAAGTCAGGTATTCATAAACTTTTTGGTGGAAACTCAACCTCTATAAGCAAGTGTCAGGAAACAAAATGTGTTCTCTTTAGATGCGCATTGTTTTTAATGTATGTAAATATGTGTCTCTGTGGGCTTCTGTGTATGAGTGCTTGTATGTGTGTGTGCATGTGCATGTGTGTGCACATGTAGCCAGAGGATAACACTCTGTATCATCCTCAGGAACATCATCTACTTGCTGTACTGGCTGGCCTCAGAGATCCCACTGTCTGCACCTCTCCAGTGCTGGGATTTCAAGCTTGGGCCACTATACCTGGCTTTAGACATGGGTTCTGAGGATTGAATTCAGGGCCTCATGCTTGACAAGCAAGCACTTTACCAACTGGGCCATCTTCCCAGCCCCTGGTTATTTTTTCAAATGGGGATGGGCTTCTGGATTGAGAGGCTGAAAAGTCAGCCTGTCCTCAGAGTGAAGGAGAGAGGAAAACAGAGGACCCCTCAGATGACTAGCCCCACTCCTCATTAAGGAGATTTTAAGACGGTCCTAAGGTAGGATGACATTGTCACACAAAAGCCATTAAGTAGTATACAGTAAGGTGGCATGGCCCATTCTGCTGCGGCGGAGCAGGGAGCTGTGTCACCACTATGCAGGGGCTATGAGGAATGTGGGCTGAGGCAAAGGTGAGGGACTCTGAGTGCTACTGAACTAACAAGGTCTAGCTTCGGGGAAGGACATGAGCTAGATGCCTTGGTAGAATCCTGGGCACTGTCTGCAAGGACTGTAGGGCAAACAGCTGGGAAGGAGAAAAATCAAGCTTTTAATTCTTGTTTAAAAGTTACATAACTTTTAGTTTCAGTTTCCAGAGAAAGAGAAAATAATCCATACCTCTTCACATTGTTAGGAGTGTGAAATAATGCCATTAGAGCCTTAGGCACAGTGCTCGGCACATTGTAAATACTAAAAAACTAGAAGCCATTATTATTAATAAATAATGTATTCTATAGCTGTTTACTAACTCAGTGATGTTGCAGGGGACCAAGGACATGAACAATGACAAAACAGAAAGAGTGGGTAAGAGGTAGCTCTGTTTGCTTAAAATTCCTTTGTCCCTCAAAAGCTTGAGAGCTTGTCTTGAAGTTTCTATGAGACCCAAGAGGTCACTTTCTGTGCAAAGAGGCACCTGGAATCATGCCTTCTAAAGGCCATGTGCTTACCATCTGATCACAAACCCTTCCTTTAAAAAAAAAAAAAAAAGGAAAGGGAAGAAGTTAAAACACATACACAAAGCAATTGATTCAATAAAGAGCTTTTGGTGAGTGTTCATTCCAGGATAATAAACCAAGCAAAACGTCTGGCTGTGTTTAAAATCAACAAAACCAGCAGGAAAGGCAGAGAGACGGAGAAGGAGTGATCAGCTTGTTTTTAAAGCTGCCGACAGAGCTGCTTCAGCAGGGGCTGGTGCCAAGGAGCCCCCAGAGAGGAGAAAGGAGACAAATGCCGACAGGATGGAAGCCAGGGACAGGGGAAGGAGGAATGCAGATGTGGCCTAAGTGCCTGGAGGAGAGCTTTTCCCAGGATTCAAGACCTCTTCAGGAGCATTTCAGGCCAGTGGGAGCCACACAACCAGAAAATAAAGCTGCTAATAATGGCTACATGTTTGGAACATTCCACTGTGTGCCAGCCTGTGCCAAGCCCTTTACATGCGTTATTCTCCCCATCCTATAGGTAAGGAAACTGAGGCTCAGAGACCGAGATGGCACTCGCTCCTAGCTACAGACTAGCGGCCATTTAACTCCTCTCTGAGCACAGAGCTGTGTTGCGTTTATCTCAGGAATGGCTAAAGAGCAAGGCTTGTTAACCAGCTAAGTGAGACCTGGGAGATGCAAGCTGGGCGGACTCTGGTTGAAAATGGCAAATGATACATTTAAATTCAACTGATGTCTAGGAAAAGCCAGTCATAATGTCACCAGATGAAAGGACTTTTGGGCCCTACCCCCATGCAATTAGGCCCCAGGGTGGCCCAGAAGGTCCTGCAGAGCAGTCAAAGTGCCCTGGGAGGCACGCCATACCGATGGTGCAGTGCTCGCCGTTCCAGCCCGGGCTGCATTCACACTTGCCATCCCGACAGGTCCCATGCTCCGCACAGCGTGGGTGGCAGGCTCGCTGGTCACATGCAGCCCCCATCCAACCATCCTCACAGCGGCAGGTGCCTCCCACACAGACGCCATGGCCACCGCAGTCCGCAGCACAGATCTCTGTGGGCAGGAAGCAGAGGAAGGGAGCGTGGAAGGAAAGGGAACAAAAAATGCACTGAGTCAGTTCTTGCTGAGAAGAAGGGTCAGGCTTGGCTACCTAGATAGGCTCTGTGAGAGGTGGGGAGTCCAGAGGCTTGGAAGAGTAATCTCCAAGGACAGTTACCCTGTAGGAGAACAATCCTGGGCAGAAGCCTGCCCTGAGCTTGCTTCCCCACCAAAATAAGGGGATGCGCTCGGTTTGGTTTTCCCTATTGCCAGCCCGTCTCTGCTTTTGTCTTGCTACTTCCAAAGGGGGCTGGCCTTCCAAACAGATGTGAGAAAAAGTCAAATTTAATTAAAAACCAGTTATGTGTGAAAACAAAGTGAGGATGAGTCCCTGTCACCACATGAAGTGTTTGTGGGTCTGGCTGGGGCCCTGTGAAGAGTTTCCCCACAGCCTTGACTGCAGTGGAGGTGGGGTGAGAGGGAGGTAGGCCGCCCTGGCACAGGAGCTTCTCATGGTTGTTCTTCCAAATCTGCAGCTGGTCCTGTGTCCTTGCTGGGTTTAGTTACTGTCCTTCAAGTTGCTGCTTCCCCCGACTAACTCTAAGCTGCCATCTAAATGGGTTTTCAGATCCAAAGTAAACATCTGGGGACCACTTCATGGCCAGAGTGGGGCTGCCTGGTCTGTCACAAAGGCCTATCTGTGTGATAGTGCAAAACATAACGGCCCGATTCACAGGTCCCTCCGGCTCCAAGCCAGCAGCTGCTTCATGCTTACTGCCAGCAGAGGCCAAAAGGCTTCTAAAGGGCAACTGTTTTTGGAAAATGGGTGGAGCACATAACCTCCTGGGATCCTCTCTGATGGAGGCCCAGACTTGACTCATGCCTCATGGCCCAACAGTCTTCTAATTCACGTGAAAATCCCAGTACTTTAAACTTCTTTTCAACTGGGTTAACTAGCATCTGTGTCAAGTTGCCTCGGCCCGTTTCTCCCTTGTAAGAGATACTGCTGATCTGGAAGTTGCTGATATCCTAGCTACTTTTACAAAAGGAAAGAAAAGGGGCTGGAGAGATGGCTCCGTGGGTAAGAGTACTTGCCACACAAGCACAAGGAACTGTGTTTGTATCCCTGGTACCCACAGAAAAGCTGGGCATGGCTGCATGTGCCTGTGGACCCAGATTTGGGGGACATGGACAGATCCTGGAGTCTCCTAGCCAGGTAGCTTAGCTGGAAAGGGGGCTTCAGGTTCTGTGAGGGAGTCTGTCCTCAGAGGAATAAGATGGAGCATTATAAAGCAAGATACCCACATGCATACGTGTGTGTGTGTGTGTGTGTATGTGTGTGTGTGTGAGAGAGAGAGAGAGAGAGAGAGGGGAGAGAGAGAGAGAGAGAGAGAGAGAGAGAGAGAGAGAGAGAAATAGATCTCAGAGGTCCAGACTGTCATGCCAACCTAAAGACAATGGATAAAATGTAGGTGAAATAAAGAAGCATGGTAAGAGTTGCTATTTGTGTTGTGTTCCTACGCAGACATCTTGCCAAGCTGCTACCTCAGAGGGGAGATCATGGCTACATGCAGTATACACGGCATCTCTCAGTTTTCCAGGGACAGGGTGGCTGCTGTGGCCTGGAGCCAGAGATTAGGATCTCTGCCAGGCCCAGGAGCTTCTGAGCTGTGGGACTATGTAGGAAGGTCCTTTCATTACACTGAGCCACATTTTCTGGCTTGGAGGGTGTAGGCAGTACAATCCCGTTGTATAGCAGTCCTGTGCTGCTCAGTAGACTGCAGAGAGTGCCAGGGAAGGGAGAAAACAAAACGCCATGGCAAAGGCCAAGCAACTCATGAAAGTCTTCTTGAAATGGAGGTCAGGACAGCGAGATTCTGACTGGGCATTCAAAGAGTTTGTGAGGTCCATGCCTGCTCAGTCATTGATCTGCTATGTGATCTTGGGGAGGTCACTTCCTCCCTGAGTGTCAGCTTCCTCACCTATTTCTGGGGGGACCTTAAAATACCTAAGGTCCCTTTGGGCTCTAAGACAGATCCGACGATGCAGCAAGCACCCTCCATGTTATACTGTGCACTCTGACCCCAAGGCTTGACTCATATTTCCTTCCTCCTTTAAGAAGACTCTTATAATTTACCCTGTGGTTAGCCTCTTGTTCCTTCCCAACCCATCCTACATGCTACAGTGATTCTCTGTCTTCCTGTCAGATCAGGAGCAACTTGAGGCTAAGTCTTCTTGCTCTGATCACCTCTATTCCTGGTGCTCAGCACAAGTCATGGCCTAGAAAAGACCTGAATTAATGCTTGGTAAGTAACAGATGAAGGTGTCCCATGTGACAAGTGTCTGAGAATGAAGAAGTTCATATATGTGCTGCTCAGCCTGACTAAAGGTCTAACAGGCCCATCTGTCTACTTCTCTGGAGACCTGAGGGTAGTGCTGTGGAACTCAGTGTCACCACATCCAGCAGCCCTCCAGGATCTTGCTCAAGTTCCCTGCAGACAACATCTTGGACATGGATAAAGACTAATAGTAATAATCTTCTGGCCCCAAGACCCTATGGGTCCCATCTCTGATTATCTTACCTTTTTTTAAAAAAATATTTTATTATTATTTATTTTATTTTTTAAATTTTATGTGTATGAATATTATGCCTGCATGTGTATAAGTGCGCCTGTGTTGTGCAGTACACATAGAGGTCAGAAGAGGGTGTTGGATCCCCTGGAACTGTAGCTATAGATAGTTGTTAGCCGCCATGTGGGTGCTGGCATTTGAACCCAGGTCTTCTGCAAGAACAGCCAGTGCTCTTAATTGCTGAGTCATCTCTCTAGCCCCTTATTTATTATTTTTATTTTACGTGTATGAGTGTATTGCCTGCATGTAAGTGCGCCTATGTAATGCAATGCCCTCAGAGGTCAGAAGAGAGTGTCAGATCCCTTGGAACTGGAATTAGAACAGTTGTTAGCATCCATGTAAGTGCTGGGAACTGAACCTGGGTCCCCTGCAAGAGCAGCCAGTGCTCTTAAACACTGAGCCATCTCTCCAGCCCTAAGTTCTCCCTGTTTTGCACACGTAAAGGGCAGTGACTTCCTGGTGACTCTGGAGGCTGGCTAGTCGAGAGATTTCCCCTGAGACCCCAGGCAGAGAAGATCAGCATAACATCTGTTTGGGTTTACCCAGCACTTTTTCCAAGTGCCAGTTGATGGTTGTGAAGGTAAATTGTAAACAGCACTTCTATTTAGTGAGGTGTGAACCAGGAGACTACAGGCAGCTGGGGTCAAAGCTGTGGGGTTTTCAGACAGCAGGACACAGGGAGTCAGAAGGGCCAAGAGCAGAAGAGGCTGGCTTTGACTTGCATTTGGGTCTTCAGGTCTTAGCTCATAACAGGTACGGTCATCCCTTGTTCTTTGGTATCAAAGGAGATTGTTTCCCTCTGAGGACCAAAATCCATGGATGCTGAAATTCCTTATATAAAATGGTACAGTGTGTGCCTTTGACCTATACACATCTTCCTCTACCCTTTAAATCATCTCTAGCTTAACTGCCATGCCCAAATAGAATGTAAGCTGTATTTGCTATATTGTTTAGGGAATAATGGCAAGAAAACATCTGTTTGTGTTCAGTACAGATGAAACTTTTTTTCAAATATTTCCAATCTTCATTTGAGTCAATGCATAGCTACTTCAGTCCTTCATTTAGTAGTCTGGAAGCTGTGCTGACAAGTGTAGGACTCAGAATCGATGGCTGCTGCTTTCGGACCTGCAAGCTGAATGACCTGCTCAGCTGCCTTGAGCTTCCTCTCCTTCCTCTGTAAAATGGGGATGATGAAAGCCCCACTTCAGAGGTGACTTAGTGCCTGATCCGTAGTAGTAGGTACCAGGAAATTCCTCCTGCTTCACTTACCCTTCCAGTAACCTTCTATACATGGCCTACTCTGGGCCAGACATGTGCCCAGTGCTGGTCAGAAGCCAATAAGATACAACCGTTGTCCCTAAGTGATCATAGTTCAAATAGAACACAAATTGATATTGGCAACCCAAAGATTATTCACATAAGTTACAGGCAGCATTCATGTCTGTACTTTCTGCCTATTGCCTATGTGCAGTGGATAAAAACCATGAATCTTAGGCTCAGACAACTCTGGGACCTACCCTTGGCTTTGTGATTTCTTGGCTGAATAATCTGCAATGTATTATATGATCAATTAAGCCTTGCTCTTCACTTCTGTAAAATGGTGACAATAATTCTTACCTTACTAATCTCATAGGCCTAGTATTAGATCAAATGGAGTAATTTTAAGGAAAGATGATTTTTTAATTTTATTTTTTATGTGTATGAGTGTTATGCCTGCATGTATGTATGTACACCTGTGTCATGCAGTGCCTGTGGAGGACAGAAGAGAGAGTCAAATCTCCTGGAACTGGAGTTATAAATGGTTGTTAGCCACCATGTGGGTGCTGGGATTTGAACCTGGGTCTTCTGCAAGAGCAGACAGTGCTCTTAGCCACTGATCCATCTTTCCAGTCCCAAAAGATTATTTTCAATTTAGCATTTATATTAAGTTTTACAGCTTCCAAAGCACACTTCACATATAATTTCTCACTAATTCTTACAATAATGTGGTGAGAACACCTTCTTAGAGATGAGGGTACTAAGAACTAGAAAGTACAAAGACACTACGAGATCATGCGAGCATCTCTGTGTTTTCCTTGGTTTAGCATCCTCAGAATAATAGTCCTGCACAGCAGGCATTTCTTTAAACAGAACCTCAAAACAAGCAAGACACATACCCACGGGAGACATTCCTCAAAGATCCAGCAGAACCTTCCTACGCACTTTTGGCCCTAGCGCTTTTTCCTTTGTTACATCCAAATCAAATCCTGGATATCCACGAGATGAAATGGGACCCTTTAGCCAGATCTTTGTTTGGTTCTTTTCATGTAGAGACTGATCTGACCATCTAAGCACGCCACTTTACGGCAGTGCATGGTAGACACGTTCTCCTGTCTGAAGCTGCC